GAGAGAGAGAGAGAGAGAGAGAGAGAGAGAGAGAGAGAGAGAGAGAGAGAGAGAGAGCTTGGTGACATTGGATCCAGACTCGACTTTGGGCTTCAGACATTTCGACGAGGGATTATTTGGGACTTGTGACAAAGACTTGGTGTTGACGACATTTCCATCTCTCCCCCTCTCCTTCGTCTGATCCCCTCCTCTCCGTCTGTGTATGTCTGGACCTGGCGCTTCCTTCCTGTGTACAGCGCCAGGCTCCAGGCTCCTTCACACCTTGTGATGAGCATGATGTATGTTTGGTCGGCATTGAAACATTGATTGGACTAGTCATTAGTATTCTAGAACTCTGCTTCGCTATCTTGTACTACGTGATAGAGGTCAGTCTCGGTCAGGTCAGGTCTTGTATCTAAGTCTTCCCTGCGCTATTCAGCACCATTTTGTATGTATCAGAATGCACATTGCTTGTTGAGATTCTACTTACACTGCATTGTCCATTCAGTCCTTTTTATCACATTGCAGATCCTCGGTTATTATGTACATCGCCCAACTGGGCATGTAACTGGTCGACGCTTATGGATGCTGATCTTCATCCATTGAGGATGGGTGGGTTTCATTTCTCACACAGTTTCTTAATGCTGCAGATATGGGGGCTATCACGGGAGCAATCCTTACTCAAAACGGATTCGAACAGCTCCCAATGCGCCGCAGTCATACTGGAGTCAAGGTCCCGGCGCATCAGAGCTGCCGTCTCCCTTGCCAACTAGTCATCATCCGCATTCTACATATTCTGATGGGGAGAAGCTGTCTCCGTCCAGTGACAAGGCCAGTCGATACCATCCATCTCCTGCGATGGCCCGGAACTACAGTTATTGGAGGGACGTTGCTCCGGATGGCTATTATGGGGGAACAGTCGAAGGTCTTAAGCCATGGGAAACAAGAGAACCTCGGAGCGATGACAGATGGGGAACCAAGCTGTCCCCTGTCAGTGCTGGGTCAGGAGGGCTGAGCACACAGCGAACGGGGACAGGAAGCTCCGTTGTCTCACGGAAGAAGGTGCACAAGCGAGTTCGCAAGGGAGGTAAGAAAGGTGGGTGGCAGGAGGGTGGGGCGATGGAGGACAGGAAAGGAGAGGGTCTGACGAGTGTTACAGGACAGACAGGGAGTGGCGATGAGCAAGTACAAGTGAACACTCCTCCTTCAACAAAGGCTAGTCCACAGACAGATCGCCAGAGGCCTTGGGCAAAGAAGGGTGCCGATGAAAGCACAAGAAAAGGTAGTGGTTATCCAAAATCATCATCATATAAAACAGGCTCTGCGCAAAAGGGAAAAGCTCATTACCCGCGTGCCATGCCAGATATCGAGGCCACAACTGTGTCCACCCTCTCTGAGGATGGTGGTGGGCTGGCAGGTGAGGTAGCAAATCTTTCAAAGGCAGAACTGGTCCCTCATGTGCCTGGTCTCTATGAGGGTATTCTCTCTCACACTGCCCCGGCAAGCCACATCCCTGGCCCTGGCCCTGAGCCAGAGCATGGTCCTGAGCTGTGGCCTGGACCTGGTCCTGAACCAGGACCAGCTGGCACCGATAATGCATCAGGAGAGGGGCAACCAGGTACAGGCCTTTCAGATGTGGATGGAACTCCAAAGCACAGTGTGCCCAGTGGTGATCTTTTAGGTAATGACAAGTTATCAAAAGAACTTGACTTGTCGAGTAAAGAGGAGAAGGCATTCGCGAAAAGGACATCCAAACGAGCAAGTGAATTACAACACCAGAGTTCCAAACCAGAAGGTTCCAAGAGAAGCAGCAGAACTGGCATTTCTGAGCCTGGAATGGCAGATGGGACAGATCAAACTGCGAAAGAGCAGGAAAGAGATGCTTCCAGGCCTGTTTCTGTGAAGACAGAACCAGTGGTGGGTTCTGAACAATCACAGCAGGCAGAGGTAAGAGCAAAAACTTCATCAATGGCACTAAGACGGTCAAGGTTCTGGACAGAAGGAATTTCTGACTCAGACATTGTCAGGGGTCGCAGGCGGAGCACGCAACGACGTTCGCCGAAACTATCTGCGCCAGATGCTGGTGGAATTGAATCTAGTGTGCCGTGGGCAGGGGCGCGTGACCTCGGCATGGCCTGGACAGGTAGGAAATCCCCAACCCGGAAGAGCCCCGCGAAACGGTTGTCTACTGCCTCTGCATGCCGTAGTTCCCTGAGAACGGGAGGGAGCGATGCAAGAGTTGCAGGGACACGTGGAAGTCTTAGCGGCAAAAAGGGCACGAGGATTTCACTGCTTGCAAAACCGGCAGCGCAAGCCACTGCACCTGCACTGAAGGATCAGGTCACAAACTGGTTGAGGTCGGATATCAAACAGGACATTAGCCCTGGGAGTCGTCCAAAGTTTGTCCTTGCCGGAGTTTCTGCTGCTCAAAAATCCTTGACAGGAGCTCCACCCCCGCTGTCACTGAGGGATGTGAAAAGAACTGATGCTCATGAGGACTCTCAGCATACGTCACGGTCAATTCGAAACGTTGACTCAACGAGCCTCACAGTCCACGTTGGAGTCCCCAACACCACGGTGGAGAACTCCGAGATTGTCTCCACAAGTCAAGCTTCGGCAACCACCGCTGCCACTCCCTCGACTGCCGATGAAACGATATCTAATCCCTCTCTAGTTCACCCAGATGGTACTGACCTGACTGGCACTAACATGGGGAAGCAAGAGCAAATGACAGTTCCGCCGACCCTGACCAACACTGGCCAGGAAAGTGCCCCAGTCGTGACAAGCTCTGCTCAGCAAGATTCAGCAACAAAGGTGAATGAAAAAGAGGGGCATCATGCTGATCGACCACAGCAAGACGCTGCCGGTGCACCCATTCATGCAAGTGTGCAGGAGGTGTTAAATGTAGTACCAAGTCAAATTGCTCAAAACACCCCGGAGAGGGATGGAGGTTTAGGTGCAGCCATACTGGAAACGGGATTACCTTCGGACATGTCTCGGCGTGGCAGTGGCGAAATCAGCCAACCAGGAAAGGTGCCACAGAAAGAAGGGAGCGATGTGAGAAAAACAAGTGGCGTGAGGATGATCCCGACTTCTGCAGAGGTACTCGGTGGCAGTGACAACAAGGACAGCAGAGCCATCGCTGGCATCACTCATACGGTTGAACCTCTGATTGCACCAGCCAGTGATCAGCTGCCTCATGGTGAAAGTGGATCTTCAGCTGCTCCGATCGGTATGACCAGTACAGCAAGGCAGGTTGAGGACAGGAAAAGAAGTCAGCTGCCGCTCCCTATCCAAGATATCAGGGGTAATGAGATGAAAGCCAGCACCACGGGCTCTAATACTCAACCCGGTGAAGCTGCAGTAACACGCCGTGGAGGAGAAGATGTGAAAAAGAAGATGAGTGGTTCTGGTGAAGCCATATCATTACTTAGTGGGGTGCTAGGTGGCACTGCAGGAGTGGACTCTCATATGAAAGGATCCAATGAGCAACAGAGTTTGGACCAGAAAAGAGGTAGCAAGCATGAGGTCACAAGCAGCCCACTGACCGGAGAGTCGCAGGCTGCCAGTGGCCAAGCAGGAGATGAACAGAGTGCTCAGCAGACTCACCATGCGGAGGCAAACGACGTGCGCCATGCCAATGGCAAACAAGTGGAAGAGAACAAGGCGCCCTCTCCCTCTGTAGGAGCAGCGCAGCCGGAGGTGAAATATGGGGATCATGCTAGCGGCAAACAAATTGAACAGAACAAGGTGGCCTCTCACTCTTCAGAAACAGAGCCCACAGGGCCAAAAGATGTGGACCATGGCAAACAAATGGAGGAGAAGAAGACAGACTCTGCCTCTTCGGGAACAGTGGGCGCAGTGGAAAGCAAGGTTGGAGTGACAGATGTGCACAGTGGGGAAAAAGAAGCCCAGGCAGAAGAGAAATCAAAGCAAGAAGCCTTGCCTGGCACAGCGCAAGTCAGCATAACAGGATTGTCCAGTACAGGTGGATTGCATGGTGCGTCAACACAGTCCCAAGTGGAGCACGGAGGAGGGCTACTGTCGGGTAGCAAAAGCCATGAATCAGGGCCACCTGTGCCAGCCTTGTTGGCTCCAGACAGCCTCTCGGATTCTGAGAAGCATGGCACTGATCCATCTGGCAGTGTTGCGGCAGGCAATGTTGCGGCAAGCAGTGAAGCCCCTTCACAGTGACAGGTACCAGCGCAACAAGGGGCCAGTGAAGTTCCACCTGGAATTGGAAGGTCAGCTGATGTGCAAGGGAAATTAGAGGGAACCAGCTCAGTCCCGCCTGCACAATGGCCAGAAGCAAAAGTGAAGACTCTGAGACAGAAAAGCGCAACTTGGACTCTTTAGGAAGAGCTAACTGAAGAAAAGGCCGTCAGCGAGCTCTGGAATCTGAAGCCCACATGAAAAACGGTGTCATTGGGATGACGATGAAGCACTTTGGTGAGGAGTTGCACCTGCTGAAGATGAAAAACGCCAGCAAGCAACAGAAAAACGATCCATCAGAGACAATGTCACAGGGGCACTGCGCAAACTCCAGGAGGAAGCTAGAAGCAATGGAAACAACAGCCATCCGAGACAATGCAGCCGCGGTAAGACTGGGGGGCAAGAGGAGCATTGAGCAAACGTCGGGAGGAAGCTGCGACATTGGAAGGTGACGGAGGGAAGTCGATTGCCATCAGTGGCAACAACTTTTTACAGTGGTAACAACTTTTTACAGGCAGGTAGTTTGCTGGTGATGGAGTATATCAGGCTTCAAAGAATGGCAAAGGTTCATATGAGCCACGCAGTCCACAGCTCATCGATGGTGCAAAAGGAGAGGGGTTCATGGAAGCTGCCACTCTGGTGGGCTGTGGTCACATGGCGGGTTGACGCTCATGCAACACCAGAAGTGACCTTGGTGATGCAGACGTTTGTGGTTGCGTCCCTCGCAGAGAGAAAGGGAGGAGGAACAGGAGGAGGTTTTGAACACAGAGGAAGGGTGCAAGAGGGGCTGATTAAACCACACACTACGCACCCCAGGCAAAATCGAATGAGTGAGTCTGCATGCGGTGCAGCTGTTGGATGAGCAATGATACCAGAACAAAATGGCTTGCGCCACCAGCCAAAAAGGGAAAAAAAAATTGCGCCCACGCCGGTTCGTTTTTTCTTTGGCACGCAGCGCAATTTCAGATCGGTAAAAACAGCTTTCGACGTAGTGGTGGTTTGAACCACCAGTGCCAACACCCTTTTTCTGAAACTCTCGGCACCTTTCTTTGGCTTGTCGGATACCAAATCCATGGATATATTGCCAGTTGGGCAAAATGGCCCCACTGGCACTGGTGGCTTAAGATGTTTGGAAGCCCCATACCTGAGGTTCTACATCTCAGAGTGAGTTCTAGTACCTCTAAAGCTACCAAATCTTGCCAATTTCGTAGCTAGCTCCCGTCTTCAGCCGAATAAAACGGTAGTCGCATTGATAATGACGGGGCGTTTTATTCGGGTGCAGACGGTAGTCGCAGTAGGGTTGCTCAATTATGCTTTTGCTGCAAATAAAACGGTGGAGGCACTGCGGAAGCGATTGTGGTGGCAATACCTCTTTCGCATTCGCCGATCCCACTGCCTAACCCCTCACCCCTACCTGCTCTTCACATATGTTTTCCTGTAACGCTTAGATTACCTCTAGGCTAAGCATTATGATCTCTTATTTTACCTGTCACTGTACCTCTTAACATTCTACTGTGTACCTCTTGCTTCACATCTTGACTGACTTCATCTGACCTTCACCCCTCCTACTGTACCTTGTATTTTACCTTTTGTGCGTTGTTTAAGTTGCCTCGTCCTTGAGTCCATGTTATCTGTTTAGGTTAAGTCCTTACTTAAGCTCGTACTATTGCACCTCACCGTATTGTTTACTATACACCATACTTCAACCCTCCCCTTACCTTAGGTTGATTTTACTTTGTTCTTACTGTATCAGCTCATTGTTTTTTTCCTGCACCATAAAGTCTGCTCATTGGCCCTGCCCCTTTTGTCTGTTTGGGTTATTGTCACTGTAGCGCATACTATTATCGCACTCGACCTTTGTGCCTTACTTCTTACCCTCCCTTTACGTAAGGTTGATTTTACCTCAAGCTGATCATGTGCCCTGCTGTAAATCGCTTGATCATACGGCTTGTCTTTCCTTCCATCCTCTCTTATCCCTGGCTCACCTTTCCTTCCCCTCTGACCTTCTCACAGTCACACTGGCATTTGTAGCAAAAGTTGGTAGAAGCAAGAGGCTGAAGCACAACAACTAAGCTGCCTTACAAGATGTGATCAATCGATCGATCGATCTTGTGGCCTCTAAGTGTGCGGCTGTGATGGTTGTCTGATGACTTCGAAATTTGAATCATATTTTATTATTGAGATCACTTAGCGTTTGCAGTAGTTTGGCATCCTAGTGAGTAGCTACTTACTGGCATAGGTGCCCAGCCAAAGGCCTTTTTTTTTTTTTTCACAATTTTTGGAGGGTGCCTGTGGTTGGTTGGACATGGTTGTCATTGCCAGCATGGCGTCAAGTTGCAAAACTTGCCATCGCATCAGATTACAGTGCATGGCTGCTGTTGATTGGAGAAGCACAATGGAAAAGTTCTTTTTTCCTTTCAGGTCAAACAGCAGCAGCCTGGAATGCTGTCAACAGCCTTTGTCTGTTCTTCACACCGTCCACCATAGACCTTCTGCATTCAGTTTTGAGATATGGAGGGCAAACAAAGGGGGTGAGGAAGGCGAGAGGATAGAGGGCTGGAGAGAAGGAGGGAGAGTGGCAGGAGATGCCGAAAGCATGATGGGGAATGCATCATGGTCTCCCTGCAGTCCTATGCATGTTTATTTCATGCATGACCCAAGCTGTATGGCATACGCCTTAAACCACCACTACCTCCGAGCCTCGTTTTGCCGAGGTAGAAAGGAACTGCGCGCCAAGCTTTCCCAAAGCGCCAGCGCGACTTTTTTCTTTTGTTTTGGTTGGCACCGCCAGCCATTTTGGTCCGGTGGCACCCGGCCTCCAAGGAATGCGTATAGGTTGTGTTTTTGTTTTGAGTTTGCCTGTGAAAGGTAGTGGTCGTTAACCAAAAAAAAAAAAAAAAAAAAAAGATATGCCTGCACTTTTCTTCCCTTGTTCTTGTTTCACAGAAGTGTGCATGGAAAGTATTGGGGTCGAAGAGAATGTCGGGACATGGGTTCAGATCAGTAGGTTAATATCCAAGCGGCCTGGTCCTTTATCTGGGCAGGCCCAACGGGGCAACGCCAGGACAAGGTGCTGGGCAGTCCCAGATCAAATTTTGAAAATAAAGATAGTAATAGGCTGATGATAGAACGACAACATCCATGTGATCCCACGGCGCCCATAACCAACACTGCTCACATCCTCCTCGCCTATGCAAGAACATATTGTTCTAATATCCTCAGCCTCCTCCTGTACATCCGAGATGGACCTTGAAGATGAGGCCCTAATGCAGGAGACGTGGAGTGGATCCCACTCCTCCCTCCCAGCGCATGGACAGCTGGACCTCAGCGGACCTTTCGCGGTGGAAGAATTAGGAGAAGCAGCCAATGGAATGGCCAAAGGCAAGTGCCTGGGGAGTGATGCTCTCCCCTTTGAATTCTTCCTTCCACATTGGAACAAACTTGGTCATATCTTATGCTCCATCTACGATGATATCTTGGAGGGGGGAGAGTTGGGTGATGAGATGAGAATGGGAATCATCTCTCTTCTCTACAAGAAGGGGGACAAACGTAGCATCCGCAACCGACACCCAATTTGACTATTTAACAATTTCTGTAAAATCATTGCCAAAGCTTTAGCCATCGGACTCAATAGATACCTCCGAGCATGAAAGTGATCGGTACCACCACTTGGAAAATTGAGGAAACTGAACTGCTGGACCTCCTGCCAGCAGATGGAACGAAAAGGAGGCTGTCGTTTTCACATGCTACCCCAGGCAAACTCTCCACCAGGCCAGCCCATGTATCTGGCCTAGTTTGAGCACCAGATATGGGCGGGGGGGGGGGRGGGGGGGGAGGGGGAGGAATCTGATATGGGATGAGATTAGAATATACACACAGCCTAGTGAAAGGATTCCATGCTGTAGTCAGTGTCCCGAACCCCGGTCCCAGGGTCCCAGTTGACCACAGTCCTGCGATCTGGCAGGCCCAGTCGTCGAAGCATCCATCCGGAGTCTGTAGGTTCGGTAAGGTCCAGTAGGTCAAGCATCAGTCGTTAGAAGTCGTAGCCCGGTACCCGACAAAGGAAGTCCAGAGTCCCAAAGTCCAATTTTGCGGCAGCATCCTGGGAAAGTCCGGCAAGTTCTGGAACTGGCAAACTGCAGCCAACAGGCCACGGAGACTGGTACCGGGCTGGAGCCGACAGAAACATCAACCGAGCTGCTATTTATAGATGCTACAGTGCCGTTTGACTTCACTTGTCAATACGTATTGCAGAAGCTCTGCTGTAGCGCTTGTGCGGCCAAGCGGGTTGGAGAGTCCGTCATTGTCAGGAAGGAAGACAGCAGCCATAGCTGTAGTGTAGAGGAAGAGATACTTGCGAGTGTATTCAGAGGGCGAGTGTGAGCGGTCCAAGGATTGAGAGGAGAGTGAGTGAGGCAGAGAGACAGAAGTCGCGAGAGAGAGAGAGAGAGAGGGAGAACGAGGGTATAGTTACCGGATTGATTTGTTTGGGCTGCGGCCATAGCCGCTTGTGCTTCGAGCTTGGAACTCGTATAATTTGAGTATTTTGGACTACAATTCTCTTCAGTTTGGGCTTATTGACCATCTCGTTGCTTTGTGTCAATGTTCTTTGAGACTTCGGTGCGGTGCACGTTGCAATTTGGTTTTGAAGTCAAGCTGGTTCGTTGAACTGGTATTGAAGTGAGGTTATAACCAAGGTAGTGGATGCTCGGATCATGCTCCCCACGAGGTCCCAGAATATAGAATGACTTATGGTTTACTGTTTCAGAAATTGGATAGGGATGACAGACTGTGTGTTGCAAATGATGAAGGGATCTGTAGTGTGATTCTGGGCGATCGTCACAACACGGAGGGACACTTTGGGGAGAGAAAGACGTACGCTAACTTACTACGGTTGTATGTGTGGACAGGAATGGAGAGTGACCGCTTTTTTTTTTAAATGGGACCATGCCCTTACTCCAATCTATTCGTGGGGAGCAGCACGTGCTGGGAACCGGGACCCGTCCCTTGTCCTCCGGCTCCAATTCAAACAGGCCTCAACCCATCCCCCCTTCC